TATTGTTATTTATTTTGTTACTCAAATTATTCCATTTTTGGCTATTGGAAGCTCTTTCAAGTTGGCTTCTGTGTCCTTTTCACATGCCTTTCATGCCGTCTTTTCCCCCAGTCCTGGCATCACCCATTTCTCCAGGGAGCCTTGGCTCTCTTTAGTCTCCATATTTAGTTTTCTTTAGTCTCTGGCATTTAGAAACTGGGTGCGAGGTGTGTGTGTTGCTACTGAAGTGTCGCTGTTTCTAGGCCCTCTTAGGAGACAGAGCTAGGAAATATGTGAATGCATACTAATCCAAGTGTTCACACACAACTACATTTCTAAATTTGTCTATCTGTATATATATTAAAAAGAAAAAACAAAAGAGTTCATATCAATGCTTCTGACTTCAGTCAGGTTTCGTTCTATCATTCCTACTGTGCTCATGTGTAACTTCTTTCTCCAGCAGCAAGACACCTGGCTCTCATTATCTATAATATGCTAGCTACAGTGTACTTACTTACTACAGTATCTAGTATACACATAAAGTAGTTTCAGAATTGCTACCCTAAGAGCCCTTTGAGAAACATGTTTACCAGCTAGATTACAGTGTTTGTGTATCACTCTTGTTGTCAGCCCTGCAGTCTCTAGTCCAAGCACTGTTACATAGGTCAGCCCTTGTCTTTACCATCCTCTTCAAGGTGCTTATATCCTTCATTTGTAGCATTGTGATTTATTTTTCACAGTCTGCAGTCCATTTTAGATTTCCCCCACATACTCACTGATTTTTAAAAATTTAGGTATAATCTGTACTTTGTCGTGCACAGTTCTGTGGGTTTTGACAAGCATACAGTGTCATGAATCCATCACCACCACAGTACCAAACAGAATAGTTCCATCACCCCCAAAATTCTCTTGTGCTGCCCCTTTGTAGTCATCTCCTTGTCTCCCAGCAACTGGCTACAATTGATCTGTTTTCTGTCCCTGTAATTTTTCCTTTACCAGAAAGTCATATAAATGGAATTATACAGTATATAATCTTTTGGAATTGGCTTCTTTCACTTAGCATAATACATTTGAGATTCACTCACATCACTGTGCGTCTGAATAGTTTGTCCCTTTTGATTGCTGAGTAGTATTCCGTTGTATGGATGTACCACAGTTTGTTTATCCATTCATCTGTTAAAGGACAGCCAAATTGTTCCTGTTTTTTGGTGATTGTAAGGTTATGTAGATTTTCTCCTATGTTATGTTCTAGAAATTTCTCCTTGAATTTCCTTTTTACCTTTGACAAAAATAGGTTGACTATATTTGTGCAGGTTTATTTCTGAACTGTCTCTTCTGTTGCATTAATCTATATGTCTATTCTGTCATCAAGCCTACACTGTCTTAATTATTGTAGCTTTATAGTTACATCTTGAAATTGGCTAGTGTGAGTTCTCCAGCTTTGTTCTTTTTCAGTTATTTTGGCTACTCTAAGTTCCTTTGCCATTCCTTAAATTTTTTTAGAATAAGCTGTCAATATCTACAAAAAATTTTCTGAGATTTTGATTAGGATTATGTCATTTCCATAGATAAATTGGAGACAGATGACATTTTGCAATCCACAAACATGATGTATAATTTCTTTTATCTTTGTTGATTTCTTTCATCACTGTTTTGTTGTTAACTAGCACAGATTTTGTTAGGTTTATCTGTAGGTAATTATTTTCTTTTTCTTTATGCTGTTATAGTGTTGCTCTTTAAATTTTGAATTCCAGTTGCTTATTGCTGTCATTGACTTTATAACCTATTTACCTACTAGATCTAGGAGGTTTTTTTGGTAGATTCTTTGGGATTTCCTCTGTAGACAATCATGTCAGTTGCAAATAGAGGCAGTTTTACTTTTTCCTTTCTAATATGTATTCCTTTTATTCTTTTTTCTTGCCCTTTTGCCCTGGCTAGTGCTTCCAATATGATGTTGGTGAAAAGATAGTTTTGCCTTATTCCTGACTGTATAGGGAAAGGTATATTTTTTATTCTTCAGTAGGTAGGATATTAGCTCTATGTTTTTTATCAATGCCAGAGGAATTTACCATTTGTCTTAGTTTCCTAGAGTTGCCATAACAAATTGCCACAAACTTGGTGGCTTAAAACAGCAGAAATTTACTCTTTTACAGTTATGGAGGCTGAAATTAAGGTGCAGCAGAGCCACATTCCTCTGAAGCTTCTTGAGGACAGTCTTTCCTTGCCTCTTCCGGCTTCTGGTGGCTCCCGCCTTCTTGGCTGTGGCAGCATAACTTTAATCTCTGTCTCCCTCTTTATGTGGCCTTCTCCTTTGGGTCTCTGTGTGTCCTTTTCTGTCCCTTATAAGAACTCTCTCATTGGCTTTAGGGCCCACCCTAATGCAGTATGATCTCATCTTGATTCTTACTTTAATTACATTGGCAAAGACCTTATTTCCAAATAAGGTCACATTCTGATGTTCGAGGTAGGCGTGAATTTTGGGGAGGACGCTGTTTAACCCACTACAGTTCTATTCCTAATTTGCTGAGAGTTTTTTTTTTTGATCATAAGTGGATGTTGAATATTTACAAATGTTCTTTTTGAGTCTATTGAGATTATATTATGGCTTTTCTTGTTTAGTTTGTTGTTAGGGTAAATTACATTGATATTTGCATGTTGAACCTGGAGTTGCATTCCTAGGATACGCACCACTTGGTCATATATGTTATTCTTTTTATATATTGCTGAGAATTCTATTTGCTAACATTTTGTGAGGATTTCTGTATCTATCAATGAAAGATATTAATCTGTAGTGATTTTTTTGTAATGTCTTTGGTCTTGGTATTAATAGTAATGCTAGCTTTATAAAATGATTGGGAAGTGTTCCCTCTTTGTATGGAATTGATGTTTCTTCCTTAAATATTTGGTAGAATTTGACCTGTAGTTTTCTCTGTTAGGTTTTAACTACATATTCAGTTCCTTTGTTAGATATGTAACTATTCATGCCAGCTATTTCTTCCTGAGTGAATTTTGATAGTTTCTGTCTTTCAAGGAATTGGTCCATTTCATCTAAGTTCTTGAATTTATGGGCATAGAGTTGTTCGTAGTTAATTCTTTTTTATCCTTTTCCTGTCTGTGAGGTCTGTAGTGCTGACCCCTCTTTCATTTCTTATTTTGGTAATATGTATCTTTTCTCTCTCTCTTTTTTAATTAGATTGGCTAGAGGTTTGTCAGTTTTATTGGTTTTTTTTTTTTTAAACCAGCTCTTGATTTTATGGATCCAGTTTTCCATTTGATTGAGTTCTCTTTAGTCTTTATTCTGCTTGCTTTGGATTGGTTTTGCCCTTTTTTCTCTAGTTTCTTAAGATAAAAGCTAAGATTATGGATTTGATACCTTTCTTCTTTTCTTACTCTAATCATTTAATATATAGATCTCTCTCTGAAGTTAAAGCTGCATCCCACAGTCTAAGGCGTTTGTTCCTTTGTGGGGATCCAAGAGGAACGTACTGATGCAGTTCATGCCCCTCCAGGCACTGCTGTATCCCTGCCCCTGTTCAGCACCGTTAGAGAGACTTTCTTAGGACTCTCGCCGTCTTTTCTGTGAATGCCTGGTGGAATTTGTGAAGACAAAACCTGCAAAAAGTGTGGACTACCCCTATATTAGCAGCACACCTGCCCCCCCAGGGGGTGCTTCACCCTCTCTCACCGTACACAGTCTTTACCAGTTTACCAGCCACACCAGCTGAGTTCTTCTTACCAGTGCGCTGCTGTGTCTTGTCCCTGTGTGCCAGTATTCATGTCTCGTCTCTCCCTGCAAATACCTCAACTTGCTTAGTTTCGGAGCCAGTTGATGACCCTTCTACCTTAGCATTCTGATGGGTTCAGGACAAATTGAGAGCCTGCCATTTGTCAGCTTTTTGTTGTTGTGAGATTCGAAATGATACTCTTTCCAGCTCTCTACATCCCCAAGCCTGTAGCTTTGTTTTAGAGCTCTTCTGCATTTTAGGTGATGAATAGTGTCTGTCCCCCAAGACAAACTGATTACCTCTTGCTCTGATGGTAGTACTTAGTACATGCTTATGTTACTGAATTTATCACACTCTACTGTCATTATTTGTGAATCTGTCTCTGCTATTAGCATGCTACTTGAAGGAAGCAAGAGCTGCATCTTCTCTATACCCGGTGCTCCCTGATCAGTGGAGGGCATTCCATATATGCTTATGGAATAGAATTACAGAAGATTTTTTATGTATTTTATTTTTTGATTTTTATTGTGGTGACTTTGGTTTATAACATTATATAAATTTCAGGTGTACATTGTTATATTTTGATTTCTGTGTAGCTTACATCATGTTCACCACCCAAAGACTAATTGCAATCCGTCACCACACACATGTGCCTAATCACCCCTTTTGCCCTCCTTCCCGCTTCCCCTCTGGTAACCACCAATCTAATCTCTGTTTCTGTGTGTTTGTTTATCATTGTTTTTATCTTCTACATATGAGTGAGATCCAAATTACAATAAGATTTTAATTTTAATGTTCATAGCATAGTCCTGGTACATTTTAAGATGCTGAATAAATATTTGTTAGTTATTTCACAAATAAAAGGGCTTATTCAGAAGTTACTTAGAAATTGAATGAGTTTACGTTTGCCCAAATTTCCACAGTTAAAAAAATTCGTTCATTTTAAAAGTCTGATTTAGTCATTCCTGTCATTAAAAATCTTGCTACCCTTTAGACAGAAGATTTAGTTGCATGAATTAATTAGTTGTTCAACAAATATTAATGGGGTTGAATTATTTTGTGCTCCCATTGACTTTTTGGATAATATTGTTTACCTGAGAACTTCAGAGCAGTGGGTAGTAAATTACTACTTTTTTTGTTTTTAAAATTCAAATAGGACTAGCCATAATTGAAAGAGTGAAATAATATTATCTTGGTAGTGTTTATAACTAGGTCAGCTTAAGAATAATTTTAGTTCTATGTCTTGAAGTGAACGAAGAAAAGACATTTTTTTCAATTTAACTGCATCTTTTCCAGATCAAATTTTCGCCGGTAGTTAAAAAGTTGTTTGTGGTAACTGCGGTGAGTGCTGTATCTGTAATTTTTCTGGCCCATCACTTTAAAAGAAGACGTGGAAAGAAGAAAGGAAAAACATTACCATGGGAACCAGAGCACCTCATACTTGAATACACTAAAAGAGCAGCATCAGACAAAGGTATGTAGAAATGGCTGAATTACGTCTGCAAAGGAGATTTCATATGCAAATCATAACTGAACTGCAGTGATTTCACGTGTTTTAGTTTCCAAAATTTCTTTCCTTAATATTTAACTCACTAGTAATACCAATTAATTTTAGAGAGATTAGAAAATACACATCAGCAAAGAGAAAAAAATCGCTGGAAATTCTGCTACCCAGAAATAACTACTAACAAACACTATTTATATTTGCATTTAAAGATCGCATTGAGGGATAAAATTTTATATTATATACAAATAAATTTATATATATTAATTAAAATTCTGATTATACCTTTTGTAACCTGCTTTTAAAATATTTAGCAATATGTAAGAATGTCTCTCCAGGTCAGTAAATATGCCTTGATGCTGTCATTTTTAATATGTACTTAGTGTTAAACTTAGTGTACACGTGTACCCTAGTTTATTTAACCACTTCCCTATTGTTCCCTTTAGGATGTTTTTCCTGCTTTGCTTATACTTGTCTGATTATTTTCTTGGTATATAAAGTTCCTGAAGTAGAATTCTTGGCCTTTAAAGGATCTATAGTTTTTGTTAGGGATATGGTACATTTTGCCAAATTGTATCAATAAAAATAATTTCTTCAGTATGCTGGATTTCTTAGTTTTTAAATTTTTAATTATTTTTTAATGTTTAGTCTATCATAAGCTTTTGTGATTCGTTTGTCCAGCAAATAATTAATGAATGACAATTTTGTGCCAAGTACAGTGATCATTACAGTAGTGATGATGGCTTTGACTTACTGAGATTTTCTTAGCTGTCAGGTGCAGTGCTACATGCTGTGCATTCACTGTGTCATTTAACCTTTATAGCAATTCTATGAATTAGGACTATAATCTTATGTTGTTGTTCCCATTTTATATATAAGAAAATTGAGATATGGGAAAGTTAAGTGACTTGCTCCAGTTTGTATAACTAATAAGTGCCAGGATTTGGATTGGGGAGTGTCTTAACTGCTGCATGAAGATAAACTAAGACAGCATGTCTACCCGAGATGAGTGGATAGATGGTTAGGGGAGACAGACGTATAGAAAACTAATTGCAGTGTAACGCGATATGGGTAAGTTTAGATGTGACTCAGGAAAAGAAGTGCTTATGTTTTGTTAAATTTAGAATTTGAAGGATCATAGTTGCAAGTATTTTTATACTAATTACAATAGACCATTCGAATACTGCCCTGATTAATTAGATGAATATTTTATTCTTCGTTTCAGAAGCAGATTTTAGCAGTGTTAACAACATTATATAGAGATGTAGATTTTTAATAATGTATCTACCTTTAATAATTTACACAACTGAGTGAAATGTGTTTTAAAATCAGCTTCCTGAGTGAATATGACAGAAACTGAAATTTTACCGGAAATTCGTCATTGCAGTTATTGATACTTTTAATGTTAATATGTTTGATAGGTTCAAGTTGTTCCAGTAGTAGACAGAATTTGACATTATCTTTAAGTTCTGCCAAAGACAAAGGCCCTCAGTCTTGTAACTATGCTAATGGAGGACTTTTCAGTAAACACTCAGGTTCTGCACAGAGTTTGGCCTCTGTAAGTAAAGAAAAAATTTTGTTATTTTTCTTACGTTTGTTTATATATCCATTGTTATCTATTGTTTTAAATGTCATACAGTTATAGATCCTCTTAGTATGGAAAGAACCTTCCATTCTTCCAGGCATCTGGTTGTGCCTGTTTTCTTCAGGCAGATGAAAATGTGGGCTTAGATTTCTCAAAAGAGGAAGAACCGGAGTTAGAGACTTGGGAGGCGTTGCATAGAGATGAATGAAATAATTGGCTCGGTGGATCTTGTTAGAGAAGGGAAAATGATAAAGCCTTTTCAATTTTAGTTATCATTTAGCAGAGCCTCAGTACTGTAATAAATTTTAAAAGGAAAATAAGTTAGTTATCTCAAATCAAAGTAGGTGTGGATAAAATGTAAAAGTAAATACTTAATAACAACAGTATAACAATAACCGCTTTATTTTTTAGTGGAAATAACTGATTTATGTTCAAAATCTTATTCTACTTTTGTATTTTTGAGCAAACAAAGCCTCAGAATATTTAGGGTCTTATGACTCCTAAGTTGGTTTGAATATAATCAGATTTTTTTGTTCAGGTAGAGATTACATGGTTTGTTTTACCAGGAATAGGATTTATATAAATAATTTGTAAATATGAAAGATCACAAAAGAGATTTAAAAGTAACTTCTGTCAATCTTATTTTAGGTCCAGAGTGTCAATTCTTGTCATAGCTGTGCTTGTGGCAATTCTAATTCCTGGGACAAAGCAGATGAAGATGATATTAAACTTGTTAATATTCCTGTGACCACTCCTGAGAATTTATACTTGATGGGTAGGAATAACACAATAAAGTTTTAAGATATTGTGCTCATATTTAATGTGAAAAATAAAGGATGATGATTTGTTTTAAGGGAAGTAACTGTAGTTTAAAAACGTTCTTATATGGGGCCGCCCCAGTGGCACAGCGGTTAAGTGCACACGTTCCGCTTTGGTGGCCCTGGGTTTGCCGGTTCAGATCCCGGGTGCAGACATGGCACTGCTTGGCAAGCCATGCTGTGGTAGGTGTCCCACATATAAAGTAGAGGAGGATGGGCACGGATGTTAGCTCAGGGCCAGTCTTCCTCAGCAAAAGTGGAGGATTGGCAGCAGTTAGCTCAGGGCTAATCTTCCTCAAAAACAACAACAACAAAAAAGTTCTTATATTTGTTGAATCTAGTCTACATAACGTAACCTATTGTATTAGTTTCCTGAGGTGCCATACCAAATCACCACAAACTTGGTGGCTTTAAACAACAGAAATTTATTCTCTCAGCCTTCTAGCTGCCAGAAGTCTGAAATCATCATCACTGGGCTGAAATCAAGGTGTCCTTAGCGCCATGCCCCCTCTGGAGGCTTAGAGGAGAATCCGTTCCTGGCCTCTTCCAGCTTCTGGTGGCTTCTGGATGACTCCAGTCTCTGCCTTCCTCTTCGTATCACCTTTTCTGTGTGTCTCAAATCTCCCTCTGCCTCTCTCTTATAAGGAAGCTTGTGTCTGTATAAGGATTTAGGGCCTGTCAGATAATCTAGGACAATCTCCCCATGTTAAGATCCTTAATTTAATCACATCTGCAAATCTAAGGTGACACAAGTTCCGGAGACTAGGGTCTGATATCTTTGGCCATTATTCTGTTACATTCACGTAACCTAATCTGTTGACTGTTGTCTAATGAATCTTATCAGAATCTACCTAATCTGTTTTATTTAGCTGTCACTTGTGTTCTTATATCTGGAAAAGATGTTAAATAGAAGGAAGGCCTGTGTTTTACATCTCAGTCTTCCTCTTGGCTTGACCACGACCTGTCTAGAAAGTCTCACTGGAGCCCAGGAAGACAAGCAAAGAACTTAACATCAAATCAGATTCAAATGCTTTTTCAAATGCTTTTTCCTGTTCTTCTCTACTCTATTTATGGCTGTTTTCCTTTTATTGGAAATGCATACTAATTAAAAAACAAAACCAAAAAACCTTGATATAGTCCTGGCCAATGAGCAGTGAAGGGGATGATGGCTTGGCAGAAGGACTGTGTGTCTCTGAAAGCATTCCCACACTCTAGAATGTTAAAGACTGTGTCATCTCCAGTGGTGTCACCATAGCTACTCCTGCCTGTGGGCAAAGACGTAAGAGTCATTTTGCCACCTTTTCCAAAGGTATCCGGAGAGTTAAGGTCATTATGCTTCTAGATTATTCTAACTGAGGCTAGTAAATCTACACTCACGGCTTCTGTTGGAATATTGAGAGTTAGAATTAAAGAGAAAGAGAGCGATAGAACTAGTATAGAATTCAGAAAGAACTAGAGAGGCTGCTGGGAGTCTCAGCGTCGTAGAGTTAGGATTGGTAGGACCCTGTGGATCACCTGATCACCCTCCAGGTGTTTCAGTTCCCTTTACAAGATTGGTGACATAAAAAAAAAGATTGGTGACATATGTTTGAATTCCTGTTACAGAACTGAAGACATGTGATAGTTCGGGCCGTGTTCTGCAGTGAGGTGAGAGACAGTACTTCCTGAGAGGCAACTTTTATCTTTGGACAACTCTGCTGTTAGATAATTCTTCCTTATGTTTAGCCAAGATAATCGGATGGACAGAAAATAGGTGGCATGAGAAAAGGATGAAGGAATTAGAATTGTAGAGCTTGGAGAAAAGAGAGTAGATAGTGATGTAATTGTCTTTTAAGTGCATACATTTTTTAGAAGTTAGATCCTGGCAGCAATTCTGTGAAACAAGAAATGAAACAAGAAAATGAAACAAGGAGGAAAGTCCTAAATTGCATTTAAAGAAGGTTTTATTTGTCTAGAGTTGTAGGTTCTCCAGGTAATTGAAGCAATGATTTTAGAGGAGAGAGATTCTTTACTATATCTTAAAAACATCTTGAGAATAACTTGTCTAGATCCTTAAGCATCTTTTAAAGATCTTTTCCTAAAAGGAAAAGAATGTATGTATAGAAAAATTGAAGTTTTGAAATACTTTGGTTTTGTTTGAAGTACATAATTATTTTGGTTAAGTCTTTTTTTTTTTTATTTGGAGAAGAAGAGAGACATACTCACCTATTTTCCCACAAAAGCTTTCTATCAGCAGGGATATGAAATTCCTAATTGGATGGTAGCCCTTTATGGATTCTTCCAGTAGTCTTGTAGATTTTTAACTCTGTCTTAGCAATTTATCTGTTCATATCAGCAAGTTGGTATCATAGTGGTTTTAGATACCTTTTGGTGGGAAAAAAGATAGAAAAGACTTTATTCTAGACTTGTATGCTATTTTCTTTCCTCTCCGCTTTACTCCCTCCTTCTGAGAGTCTCTTATGAACCTCATAGCTTCTTATCAACTAGTTTCTTCTATTTATTAGTTTTCTTTTTAATTTGGCGAGATATTTTGAAAGATAGTTGTGTGACTATGAAAATTAGCCATGATTGTTGGACTTTCGATGAGTTCACGATATTGTTCTAGAAAAATTGCAAGCACTATATACATTTGAGTTACATTTTTTAAAAAATGAAAATACATTGGTCATTTCTCTCTGATTTTTGGTTGACTAGAACTGTGGGCCTGGAATATATTGGGAAATTAAGATTCTACTCTGAAATGATGTGAGCATAAAATTATACTTTAGTGCCAAAATTACAGTCAGACTGTGCTTTTGGTGATAACTGGATGAAAAACTCCTCAGACTCAAAATGATTTTATTTGGCGTTGGTTTTGCTTATTTACAATTGTGCTGTTCTTAATTTTTAGGTATGGAGTTGTTTGAAGAGGCCTTGCGTCGATGGGAACAAGCTCTCACCTTTCGAAATAGACAGGCTGAAGATGAAGCCTGTGGTTCCATTAAATTGGGTGCAGGAGATGCTATTGCTGAAGAAAGTGTAGATGTAAGGGTGGTTTATTTGAGAGGGGTCTTCATAATGTTGGAAAAATTAATCAGTGTACTTGCTTTCTGTGGCATTTAATAGAATTGGTTTTTTTTTCTCCCTCAAGATTATATGGGGGTGTTTCTTATTGGGCGTTTTCTGTTCAGTTAGTTGTTAAATCCCAAATTTGCAACTCATCATCAAGTTTCCTGATTTTCCAAGAATGTATAGAATTAAGCAGATGTGTGAGTTCTAAAGGAATTTTTAAAAGTCTGTTTCGTGCTTTGGATTTAATTAAGTACCGTTATATTCATAAAAATCACACAGAATTAGCGTTGGACTGGTACTTCTTGGTCGTCTAGCCTGATAATTCTCAAACTTGAGCATGCATCAGAATCTCTGAAAGGCTCGTTAAGACAGTTTTGGGGGCCCCACCCCCAGAGTTTCTAATTCAGGGGGGCTGGGGTAGGTCCTGAGAATTTGCGTTTCTAACAAGTTCCCAGATGGTATTGATGCAGTCCAGGGACCTTACTTTGAGAACCCCTGATCTAGTCCAACTCCTTACTGATAAAGAAACGGAATCCCTGAGAACTGATGATTTTGCCGAAGGCACAGCTGGAACCCAGGCCTCCTGACTTCTATCGCAGTACTTGCACCACCCAACAGTAGTTTTTTGTATCCCTCGCTTTCTCTGCCTTTCATTTAAAAGTGGAAAATGTTTAGGCTTTTAACATTAGAATCTAACATTTCTGTGTGTACTTTTTCTCTCCCTGTAGGATATTATTAGTACTGAATTTATCCATAAGCTTGAAGCTCTGCTGCAAAGAGCATATCGTCTGCAAGAGGAGTTTGAAGCTACCCTTGGGGCATCTGATCCTAATTCTCTTGGTAATGATATTGGTAAGATGGATATTTTATATGGTTTTTATGAAATGTGTGATTTTCTTCTTTTGTACTTTTGGAATCATTTGCTCAAGTGTATTTATATGGTTCCATATCTTTTAGAAAATAACCAGGAGAAAAAAAGTTCTATCATATTTAGTGGGTTTTTTTCTTAGTTTTATTTTTCAAGTGAACTTAATGCCCTTAAGATAAAAATTCAATTACTTACATAAGTAGGATTGTGATGTTGTTTTAAAATTATCTTCTAAGTGAAAAAAATCCCAAAGTGTTGGAGGGAGGTAAAAAAAACAAAAAACAGTAATATGAAAATGAGACAAAGACACACCACATCAGAAATGTGCATTTAGCTCATGGCATGCATTTAAAATACTGAAGTCATTTTATTTCCTGGACTCCATTTAATTGCAGGCTAGATTTTGATGTAAGTAGTCAATACATATATTATTATATACCTTTGTTTCCTGTTTTAAAGAGGAAAGAACTTTGAACAGACTTCTTAAGTGAAGTCTTCCAAGGAAAAATTGATTAAAATTGCTTCCTCGACTTCTGTAAATGCTACAAAGAATGAAATAAGACAAAATTATATTACGTCTTTTTGTTAAAAATATTTGTCTTTTTATTTGGGGAGCATTGTTGTTTTCCAATAAAGAAAAAAATGTTTAAGAAGTGTTAAGTTTTTCCACATTTATTTCTGAACATAAAGTACTGAAAGTGGCTTGCATTTTGAGATGTTTGCATATCTATGTATTTTGAATTTAGACAAAAGATTTCATTTCTATTAGAATTATGAATTACTGTCCATATGTCATGGTGAGGGCCATATGAATCCTCTTTGTAGGATTCAAATATTATTCATTAGACTTGAGTATTTTTTAATAGTTTCTCAGCTCTTAGACTAGGTATAATGTTTTGACATGGAGATTACAGGCCAGGAAAAAAGTAGACAATATTCATGTCAACAAATAGAATTTTTCAAAGCCTTCTTTTTATATTTGTTTCTTTCTACATAGTTTCTTTTGTAACTTGTTAGAATGGCAATTATGATAGTAAGTAGGAGAAAGAACAGAGAGAAGGAATTTTAAAAGAATTCAAATGTAAAAATGGCAATGGAACAACTAGAAAAGATAGGAAAGTGGTTATAGGAAAGTGGTTAAGTGGAAAGGAAAGCCACAGAGAAGAAGTAGGAAAAAATGATAAATATAAGGAGAGACAAGGAAAAGGGCCCAAGATTTTTAATGTATTGTTCACAGAGTGGAGGCTGTGCCCTCCCTGTTCTAGACTGGGACCCATAATCAATCCATGTATTGGGTTAGTGTAGGTTTGGAATAAATTCCTGACCCCACCCGTGTCTTAACCTTGGCTGTCATGGGCTAGTAGGCTGGCTGTTTTTCCCTGCAGCCTAGCAGTGCTGTGGCCTGTTATTGCCCTGGAGATTGCAGTTGCCATGAAGCTGTTATAGTTTGTTCCTTCTTGGGAATTGTTTGGATATTGTTCTGTTATTCCAAGTTCCATTTTTGAACTTCTGGATTGAAAGAGCTGAATCTAGGGCCAAGACTCTAGTAGGGGAATAGCTTTGTTATATCTATTAGTTGATAGTAATCAAACTTGGTTATAAGTCAGTTAACTCTCCTCATTCTCTAAATCAAAATTCATTTTACACATTTAATTTATATTACTGAGAGGCAATTTATAATTAATAGTCATAAATAAAGAAAGGCTAACAAATGCCTTCAGGGGCTCCTGTTGATCTGACTTCAGTGAATACTTTATTGTTTTGGAATTTGCTGTGTCTTATTCCATAAAATAAATTTTTTTTCTCCTAAGAATTTGAAAGGTTTTCAAAGTTGGAAGATTTCTTAGCAGTCATCTAATTTGTCTCCTTTTCCCCTGTTCTTAATATCTAACACCACCACTGTTCGCATGTTACCGTGTACCAGGCCCTTTGCTAAGGCCCTTTGTTTCTTCTTTGCTGGGTCAGGCACTATTTTGAGTGAAAATTATCTCACTTAATACTCACAACAGCTTTTATGAGATATATATATAAATAAATATAGTTATCCTCCTCATTTTTCAAATGGGGAAAGAGAGGTATAGAGGTATTAAGTAACTTCCCCGGAGTTACAGAGCTATTGAGTGACAGAACCCAGATTTGGACCCAGGCAGGCCAGCTTGAGTCCATATTCTTAGCCGCTGAGCTATATTGCCTCACCACTTATAAGAAAGACATCTTCTTTGAATGGAAGGGGTGACTGAACTCTCTGTGACAAAGTTCCCTGTAGGAATTGTCGTCTTGGAGCAGGCAGCCTGGAATCCCCACAGCTGCCCATGTAAGGAAACTTATTTCTAGTGGTGGTATAATTTATTTAGTCTGGCTCTTCCTTTTCTTTAAAAATTTGTCCTTCCTCCATAGCCATGTGGGAATCTGCAGTTAGCTCATGTGTCTTTCCTCCGCTCTGAGGCCCTTTAGGCATCCTGGACAGATTTCACTCACTTTGTAGAAGGGAGTTATCAAGGTTTAATCCAAGAACAAAAAAAATGAACTGTTCTGTTTACCTGAGGGGACTAGAGGAGAGGGCCCAGCATGCCCCCTGAGTTTCGTGGATAGCGCTTTAGTGACTTACCCTGATAGATTATGCTTTGGCCTGTATCTGCATGATAACTAAAGTACAGACTCAAGATTCAGACTTCAAACCCTGGCTTCACCATTTATTAGGTGTGTGATTATATAACTTGTCTAAGCCTCAGCTTCCTCATCCCAAAAATGGGCGTATGTAGCTATTTTATAAAGTAATTATAAAGATTAAATGAAATAATACGTATAAAGTGTAGGAACAGAGTAATAAAGTTTATTGGCTTGGCATTTGGAGCTTGTCTGGGACACTCTCGGGAAGAGCATCATTTAACCTCTAGGATATTAGGCTATGGGCTTCTTTTTGTTCTTATTCTCCCTGCCTCAGCCTATATTTGCTCATTTCAAGGTAGTCTAAAATTTCTGGTTCACTGCTTTTCATGTTTTCCAGTGATGTTATAATTTTCTTCATTAAAATTTTTTTCTGTCATTTTTAATGGGCCTGTGGGAAGAAGTAGATGCCTGTGCTCTGTCTACTGTCTTGAAATAGAAATTCTGGACATTATGATAGCGGAGTCTAAGGACCACGTTAACTTTCGTAACGTTGCTAATACTGAGCTGATGGTTAACTAAAACTTCTAAACTCTTCTTTGTTATTGTAGATTTGTTATTGTTAAGCCACATCTTCCCTCATTTGTTCTTTGCAGATGTGTTGTGGACCCAAGGTTTAGATGTTATATTTATTATTCTTACTAAATTGTCATTTCTGAATGACGATTTTAAATTGTTAAAATAGTTTTAGACTTTGATTTGACATTCCTCTCAGCTTTCTTGTACTTTCTAGTTTGGTCATTTGGTCTAGTTGGTCATCAGTGCTCTCACTGAAACCATTAACAAAAAATGTTTAAAGGAAAACTTGTTTTCCTCTACTCAGCACTTCTGACACCAAATGTTTGGGTTTTGCACACCAAGCAACTCTCTAGTTCTCTGTGAACACCAACTGGGTGTCCTACAATTTAATCAGTTCTGACTGCAGCTACCCAGAGTTAGCACAGAGCCCACAGGTTAAGGGCTCAGTCCCACAAGACTGCCCCCCACTCCCGTACCAATCACAAATGCAGGCCTCCTGTATTGCTGACCAACTGTCTGTGAGTTGAGGATTCCTACAGCTCACTCCTCGGGCTCAAAGCTTGGTAATTTGCTAGAAGTGCTCACAGAACTCAGGGAAGCACTTTACTTACTATTACTGGTTATTATAAAATATATAACTCAGCAATAGTCACATGGAAGAGATGCACAGGCCAAGGTATGGTGAATGGGCATAGAGCTTTCATGCCTCTCCAGATGTACTGCCCTCCCAGCACCTCCATGTGTTCACCACACTGAGAGCTCTCTGAACCGTGTAGGTTAGCATTCTTATGGAGGCTCCATTATGTGGGCACAATTGATTGCCATTGACCATTGGTGATTAACTTAATCCCCAGCCCCTCTCTCCTCAGGGGTGAGGGTTGGAGGTGAGAGTGCCCACCTTCTAATCACATGATTGGTTCCCTTGGCAACCACCCCCAACCTCCAGCGTCACCTCATTAGCATAAACTCCACTATGGTTGAAAAGGGGGTCATTATGTGAATAAAAGATGCACCTCTCACCCCCATCACTCAGGAAATTCCAAGCGTTTTAGTAGCTCTGTGCCAGGAACTGTGATAAATATATATTACGTATTACGTCACAGTATCTCATCTTAAAGTGGACAGGGCCAGAGTCAGAGATCTGAGGTGTCACTTTCCAGTTGCCTTAGGTCACTAAGAATTGTTAAGACACCTTGATGTCCAACTGGCTATAAACTCAACTGATTCTACTTTCGCACTTCTTTTTTATCTTGATGATAAAAAGATCACAGGATACTTTATTATATAGCATATTAAAACATATTTGTAATTTATCTACTTTAATAATTTAGGAAAATGTAAAAATTGTTTTGGAAAAGAGGCTAATATCAGTTCACATTATTTGGAAATATTGCTCAAGCTGCGCTTTTTTGCAGGTAGGTATTTGCCTTTGAATATTCATAGCTGGTTTTACACTCAGTTGCAAATCATCTTAGTTTTGGAAGGCACACGCGTCAGGTTTTATTGGCAATAGTAGAGCCTCAGCAAAACTTATTTCACTAATTTGGAATTCAAAATATACACAGTACTTAATTTTACACTTGTACCGTCTATAGTAGAGTAGTTTTTTTTTTTTTTTTAAAGATTTTTATTTTTTCCTTTTTCTCCCCAACGCCCCCCGGTACATAGTTGTGTATTCTTCGTTGTGGGTTCTTCTAGTTGTGGCTTGTGGGACGCTGCCTCAGCGTGGTCTGATGAGCAGTGCCAGGTCTGTGCCCAGGATTCGAACCAACGAAACACTGGACCTCCTGCAGCGGAG